GGGTCGACGCCCTGCGTCTTGCAGATAACATACGGCTTCGCCGTCTCCTCTCTATAGAGGTTCTATCTCATCGAGATCAGTACGAACACGCACTCGGTGTCGTCCAGTGTCTCCACTCCCTACTCCATCGAAGCGTTGATGTTATAAACAACATCCGACGAAGAGCTGCTAATTCCACAGTGGGTAATCTGCCACTCTACGCGCATCACAAGGGCTTCGCCCTTGATGCCTCGAACCTCGTCCAACCATGCCATTCTTTCCATGCAGCGACTGCTCCAATACTTGAGCAGCGCTCACTGGGTTACGTACCTCCACGTTCAGGCCTCAAGTCACGCTTGGTACTCCTGTCCGATACACCTTCGGTGTTTGAAAGCTCGGATACTCCGATATCTAGCACATTGACTGTTCCGGTCCAGTGCCCGCGCCAATAGCACTTCTATTTTCTAGCAGAGGTGAATTCATGACTCACCAAAGCTGCACCAGGAGACGTGCGCGTAGCGCCCGGAGTCTTCGACCTCCAATCAATTCATGGCTCATGGTGTTCCAACAATGCCATACCAAGGATAAGGTCATACCTTGCATCCAAGTCTAAGACTAGACAGCGTTCCAAGCTATCAAAGTCAAGGAACTTGACACCGGTGTCTACAGGGATCCTCGGAACAGTGACACATGTACCCGTCGCTAAGCGAACAGCGACGGTGTCACTCAACCGCGCCAACAGCGCCTCACCACACAGCTGACTTTCTTCGATCGTGGACCGTCGAGCATAATTGCTTGACACCCCGGAATTGATAAGGATTTTACATGGCTTATCATAGCTCTTTACGGTCGCTTTTACGACCAGCAAGCCCAGCTTGCACACACGTTCCGCTTTCAAGAGCATGCAGCTCTTCGGGGCTGGGGCCTGCTGCCCTCTACCTCTTTGAGGCTCAACAAAACTCATTTCTTCCCCCAGAAGGGCAACTCACACCTACTGAGTTTTCTTGTTTCCCCGCGACAAACCAGACTGGTTAGTAGCGGGACGTCGGTTTGACGAACTTTTACGCGCCTTGCGCAAGAGACAACCCGTTCAAAGGTGGCGAGTATCTCCACAAACAAAACACCGTCGGGTGTTTACACGCTGCCCAGCAGCGGAGCTTTTCCTCCTTCTTCTCAGCATAGCTGAGGTTCATTGGCTCAGGCCCGCTCGACGAGCTCTGAGGGTGTGTATTTCAACCGACTTGAAGTTGAAATCGGGATTTGATGCCACGTCCACCGCTTCATCAAAGGAAGACAGATGCAGACGGAAGACTTTCATTCTGGCCACGCCAGTGCGGAGGCGCTCCATAAAGACGGTCACAGGATCTGCTGCCATCCTGGCAATAAGAGTTCTCAACTTTTGGACAAAGTCCACCGACTCCTTCTTGCCCTGTCGGGCAGCAAGGGACGCGATCTCACGCGATATGCCTGATTAGGCGGCGCGAACGCTCGCAGAAGCTGACGCTTCCGCTCCTTCCAGCAGCTTCAACCAAAGCACCGCACGTTAGTGTCCATTCTCGGTATTCCTCCATACTCACAGAGGATCAGTCGTAACAACTCAGGCGTAGATTGACTACAAGTGCTACCAAGTGCAGCGGGGCTGCCGTAGCTCTTTTCTTAAAGGAAGCGAAGCTAAAGTCTCCGACCTAACGTTCTTTCCAAGAACCAGTACTAGTGTAGCGGATCGCAATCCGCTACTTTTAAGTCGTTCTCTATGCGGTTGTGAAAGCAAACTTTGAGAGTCAAAGCTACTTATGTGCAAAGGGCACGGCGACCTCGTTGCACTTGTGTAGCTTCTAGCCAATTTCACGATCGAGTTGTGAAAAGACTGTATCCTCTGTGAGAATTAAACACGAACCGGCTAACACGCCACGATCTGTGCGTCAACTGGGATCGAAAAAGCAATGTGTCATATAAAAATTATGGCGGAGCTTGGCAAGTCATAAATGCACCTCTCCCAGGAAGCAGAAGCCGTTTGGCGTGGTATGGTCAGGTGTCTCAGGCAGATTTCGAAAGGCAAAAGCGGTAATGGGCCGTTTTTTGTAACGAGGTTACACGTGCCCTTATGAGAAAGAGCGGGTCGAACAATCTTGTGCGACCGCACACAGATGTGTATTACAGTTAGTGTAATAACACAGTGGTGTGGCTACACCGTGACAAGAAGCCACCGCGTGGCAGGATTGCCTGTTGGAATGCATATTACTATATCAATTAGGTCTTGCTACATTAATTAGATTTTACTATATTTAGTGGGAGAACCTAGAGTTTTAGATATCGGCGGCTCTACCGCAACTAAAACAATTAAATACAGTTTCGTTTTTGAACAGAAGTGTTCGTTTGCCTAGGTAAGGCTTTAGTGGTCTATGCGCTCCTACCAGGAGCTGAACCGAGAGCATCTTAAGTAAGCAGCACTGTAAGTCCGCTTTGCTATTTCAAAAGTACACATACATTAGGAGTGATGTTGTTCGATCTAAAAATAAATATATGCGTTGTTCTATCACTCATAATAAAACTGTCTTTCATTTTCTACCAAGTGGATGTGTACCCTCCTTTTCGGAGTTCCGTTATATTCCGACGATTACTTAGTCACAATTACTTCAAGGGTAATGTGAAATTTATACTTTTTTACAGCATTGTACTTAATGTGTATGAGTTAAGTAGACAACATTAAGTTTTAGCCCCGTGTCAGAATAATTTGCTATATTGCTTAAGTGCTCTATGGGTACGAAATCTGTTTCATTGTCTTTTTCCTGTTTTTCCTGTATCAGTGCATGACATAATTATTGTTCTTCACAAATTGAAACTTTACATTGTACCCATCAAGCTTTTTATTGTTAAAGTGACGCTAAGGTACTTGATGTTTTTATCGGCTAGGCGACGTCATCTATTCTATTATAACTAGAAAACAGTGCACCACTTGAGGAACCGCACCTCTTCCCGTTACTTCAAAGCCCAACCTTCCGCGAAAGTATTACTTTTCATCCTGCGAACATCTTGACGCTGACTGGTGTAGGGGCAGTCGCCACAGAGAAACCAGTGCCCCAAGGTTTTCTACTCCTACTATAGAGAACGTCGTGGTAATTTAAACCTTCAGTCAGTTGCGTAGACTACGTTAACTCGAAGCGCTATGCTTCTCTCATCCATGGATCATCTCGGCTATTACTCAATGAGTAAGGACAGCGAATTTATAAAACTCGAAAGTTCTGCCGGTGTCACTGGCCCCGATGGCTTCTCGCTGCCATCCGAAGACATTGGAGCTGCATCTTACATAAACGAGGAAAACAGCCCTAAAAATATCACAAAGTCTTCGTTGTATAAGACAGAACTGTGCAAGCGCTTTTCAGAGTTTGGCAACTGCCGTTATGGAGGTAGGATTTTGTTAAGGAGGCTCCAACAGAGAAAAATAATCTCACCTTACATGTTTTCTCCCACAGCTAAGTGCCAGTTCGCCCATGGCATTGCCGAATTACGCCATGTTGTACGCCATCCCAAGTACAAAACTACAAAGTGCAAGTCTTACTGGGGCTCCGGACATTGTCCTTATGGTAGCCGCTGTCGCTTTATTCACGAAGAAACTGAAGGCTATTCGCAGCCGCCGTTTAGCCCATCAAGTCAACTGGGAGGAGGCATATTTCTACATGAAAAAAACCACCTTAGTGGCCACAGTGTAGGTATTATGGCACCACCACCGCCGTCTGTGGAGCTCACCTACAGTGGCGGCCTCTACAGTGAGCAGCACACTCCACAATTACTTCGTCAGCTCCGTTCGCATCACCACATGATGTCATCATATGCTAAAGATACTTGTTCGCTCCTGTCCTCCTTTGACAGGAGCACATCGTGGGGAGCATCTATAATGAACGCACCCTCCACCCTCCACTCTAATTATTCTGGCGAGCGCTACAATTCAAAGCAACAAGAGCTCGGCAGCATTGGCGCTCCTCATGAAAATCAACGAGCTGTCCCCGTAACCAATACTTGCAAAAGCACGTCATCACCGAGCTACCCGGATCTCCAAGATGCCATCGACGCATTAATGAAATTCTCGCTTACATCAGAAGACGAACCGATCTCGGATCCCGCTACTCATTCGGAGACTTCAGTGCAACAAGGTCGACGCCTTTCGAGTGTTTCTTCTCCTGCTCTCGCTTCCACGTCAACTGTTTCAGCGACGAGCAACTCTGAGTTCTCCTTGCAATCTGATGAGCTGTGGAAAGATTTTCCGACGGCTTCATCGGCACCATTCACTGCCGACGATTTGCAATGTCAGTCGTGGTCAACTGGTTTGCAGTCGCTCAGTCTTGACAACAAAGCTTTTGACAGTGTTGCAGCTACTTCTGGTGGTGTCAAAAACGCTTCTAGTTGCAGTAGCGACGACGAAGATAGCCCCCGTTTGAGCGTGTTCGAGCGCTTCCATTAGGCATTGGAAGCGGAAAGGAGAGGTGGCGCTCTGTATCTAACTATGAGCGCTTGCGTGCACCGTCCAGCTGGGCATTGTGCTCCCGCTCGTGTGTTTAACCAGCCCCTATTTACTTTTCATATAAATAAACTAAGTACTGCTGCCAATTAGCAGGTGCACCATTTAAGTTGTTATAGCTGATCACTTATTCAGTGTCATTTTTGCTGAAGGAGGACCTTTGCGCTTTGGAATTTTTACCTTGGGCTTCTCGCTCACATTTTGAAGATTTCTTACTCGCTCGCGCTGCTCCGCCAGGATCTCAGCCTGCGTGCGCTGCACAACCTTGACGGAGGTCTTGGCAATATCAGGCTTTTTCTTAGCTTTCTTTTCGGGCAAAACCACCATCTTTCGCCGAGTTGCGTGATCGCGGCAGAACCTACCGGAACACGTAGATTTGGCGAAATACAGCAACATCGTAAGTTTGAAAAAAGTACCTGATAATGGCCCACAAGCTTCAACACAATAAATGTTCATCATTATCGATCAGGCCGACAACATTTAATAACTTACCATGGACACGTGAAGACCATGGTGAATACCACCTGAAGCATAATGTAGCCTACGCGCAAAACATGAGATTGTTATACCAACACAACCTGAGACTGAGACGTCGCCAACATACTGGTATCTTCGCCTTGTAAGCTGAGAATCATGCCGCCAATGCCCACCGCGTAGCATGTGCTGAGCACTCGGACAGCGATTTCTACTTTCACATTCATTCTTGTTATTATTTGAAACTTTCCAGCGACGCCTCGATCGCCAATTTACATAGGGAACTAAAGATCTAGATTTGCATTTACGATTTTATCGTTCTTATCCTTTGTAACGAGTAGCAATAACCAGTATCTAAAATACTTAAAGCTCTTCGTGCTCAACTTCCTTTTTATCCTCCTGTGCCACCTCTTTCTCATTTTCGTCTTCTACAATGTCTTCGCCATCCTCTGCTCCGTAATTCGAGCCGTCTAGCTTGAACTTCTGCGCATTGGTCTTCAAAAACTCGGTGAAACCTTCAACATCGCGCGATCCATCGTACACGACTGGATTTTGCTTGTCTTTACCTGGAAAAAAGATGATTGTTGGAAAACCGCGCACATCCACACCAGAGTGGTCAACCTCATTAGCCGTTGCATCCATTTTGGCAATTATAATACTTTCAACATCAGCAAACTTTTCGGCCAGTTCCTCGAATTTGGGGGCCAAAGACTTGCAGTGGCCGCACCATGGAGCATAGAACTTGAGCAGCACGTCTTTGTCATTGTTGATCACACGTTCCTGAAAGTCTTTGCCGACAATTACCTTGACAGCCTCGTCGCTGTCGTCCTCGGGCTCGGCCGATTTGAGCAAAGGAGTCAGCTTACCTTCGAAGTAGCTCTTCTCGAAGGCGACAAGGTCGTCAGCAAGACCATCGTCAATCTTGGCGACGAGACTATCAGCTTTGTAGTTAAATCCGTACTTTTTCATAGAGCCAGCCATATTCACGAGCATAACAACAGGCATCTCTTCTTCTGTCAGCCCAAAGTAATCCACGATGCGCTTCTCAGTGCTAGGCATAACGACGTGCAAGAGCTTGCCTTTATTCGCTTCAGCAGGCGTTCTGAGAGCAGTTTCGATGCCAGAAACATAATCTTCGTCCATGTCGACGAAAGCCAGTACGTGCTCGGTCATGTCGCCGCCAAAAATCGTGGGAGCCAAGTCCTGGGAGAATGTGATGACAAGTGGCAAGCTGTTGGCCTTCACAAACTCACTCAGTGCCTTTTTCTCGAAATCACCGTTGTACACGACTACTCCCTCGTCAAATTTTTTATACAATACCACCTCGTTCACAGCAGAAGTTTCAACCATCAAGTCGACATTAGTCGAGGCAGCATACACAGCCAAAACGTCATTATCCGCCAGCGTCTCGAGCATGGAGCGAGATTCGCCATCCTTAGCATCCACCACCGTGAACACCACAACGTCGTTATCTTTCTTTAGATTTTCAAGCTCCTCAGCAGAATTGATCATGACAACAGCTGGACCAGACTTTTTAATCACCCACTTCTCGATTTCCGCTGATGTGCGACCGCCGTCATATTCCTTGACAGCTTCCACGTCACCCTTAAAGAACTTAAGGGTGGGAAAACCGCGGACAGCAAACTGCTCAGCCAGTTTGGCCTCGGCCGTGGCGTCAACCTTGGCGAGGCGAATGGGAGGATCCAAATCCTTAAGATTCTTTGCCGCCGCCGCATACTCAGGTGCGAGGTTCTTACAGTGACCGCACCAGGGTGCGTAGAACTCGACCAGCATTGGATTGTGAGTTGCCACAGCCTCTGCAAAGTCACTTTCCGTTAGCACTAGCACATCATCTTCCTCCTTGAAATCAGCCGCACGCACTGCAATTGCCAAAACGGTGAGCAGCGCGAACCTGCGGACAGATTTTAGAAACATTTTGAAGAAAGAAACAACAAGCTTATAGATTTATATGTCTGGGATGGACTTGAGAAAATCCAAAATGACGTATGAAGAAACAATGAAAATATCTAGCTTAAAATCCGCAAGGCCCTACTTGTATAGATCTTCTTTCTTTCATGATTTAGCATGTAGCAAAGCTACTGGTATTTAAAATAATGAATCGTGTTGACACGTGTACGGCCCTATCCCTGATTTCAATATTTGAGTGAAGATTTAAGCTCTACTAATGATTCAAATATTTTGACACTTTCAAACTAGTAAGGCCTACGCAGCGTAATTGTAAAAGGTTACGAACAGTAATCACTTCCTTAATTCCACACGTTGATCTTGGCTGCCTAGTGCGGATTTATTCGAAAGTTGTGGACTTCGCGCAATGCAGTCTTCGTCTATCGTTTCCACAAGGTGAATTTCTGATAGAGTGGACAAATCCTCTTAACGGGGAAGGGAGCAAGGCCCAACGCCTCGAAATAAAAGATGGAACTGCCAGCCGGCAAAAAGCCTCCCGCGCGGAGCCTAGCGAGATTGATTGGTGTTAATGACAAAGTTATCTATAAGTTTCATAAGAAATAATTAAATCTCGAGCAATTAATATGGAAAAGACAACAACGCAAAAACACATGTGACATGTCGTTGAAGTTGGTTAGAATGTGACGAACTTCCACGTGCGTTTGACATTGTTGCCGCTTCAACGATCCATCTTAGTTGCTGAGACACGGCGTAGCACATCTACTACCGCAAAAAAGCATGTGACATGGCATTGTGGTCGGCGACATCGCGACGAACGTCCAAGTGCGTTTACTGTTGTCGTCGCTTCAATGATCTATCTAGGTAGCTGAAACACGCTGTAGCAAGTCTACTCTCACATAGATGCATCTGATATGTTACTGCAGCTACTGGCGACGATATTAGCGCTCGAATGTGTTTGTCATTGTCGATGCTTCGAATTGCTGCCTCTGAATAAATGAGACACGCTGTAGCACGTCTGCTACTGCGAATAGTCATGTGACATGGTAGTGCTGCTGCTCATAACAAAACGAATATCAGAGTGCACTTGCTGTTGCTGCCGGTTCAAAATCATGCGTTAGGGTACCCCAGACACGCTGTAGCACATCTACTAACGCAAACAAGCATGCGGCATGTCATTGCGGTCAGTGATCTTGCGACGAACGTCCAAGTGTGTTTGCCGTTGTCGCCGCTCAGTGATATATCTTACCAGAGACCCCTCTTTTTTGAAGTTCTACCATCTTCGTGATTATTGATACTTTGATACTAATGGATATTCATAATTACACCAAATGCAATGTGAATTTCGGGTATCCAGACGACATGGAATTCAATGAATTGAAATAACTGTTCAAAGTGTGAGGCGTAAGCACACAAGAGCACAGCACGCACATTCCCAGTAAGACGTAGACTACACTGTAACTTGCACTGGACCTGTCTTTTAGAGACTGCGCAGATCTAGTTGTGCCTGGGGGCATTTGCACTTGACCCGGCTACTCTCCAGAGCACGTGGATCGGATGACCCCTCTGTGTACATTATTCAGTGACTTAATCAGCCTCACCAAATACGCGGTAATTGTTCTCGGTGAGGTTGCCAAAAATTTTGCCGGTTATTGTAGTGGCTCTTCTAGACCTAGCCAAAAGCCTCAGCTTATACCTGAGAGCACACGGTCAAGCTGTTCAACAAGGAAAAGACTCTCTGCGCTCCGACACCCCATGCGCAAGTTACGTATTTCGTGTCCATTTGTATCAGCGACATTTGCTACAACACTCTGCCGGAAAGTTACAACAATGTTCAGCTCGCCGAACTCAGCTCAGGAAGCCCAGCTTTTTTATTTGCAAGCGCAAGTATCATGCCAACTGCAGTGAAGCTGCTGTAGCTCTTTGCTTAGAGGAAGCTAAGCTAAGGTCACCGACCTTACGTTCTATTCTAAAACCAGTACGAGTGTAGCGGATCGCAATCGGCCACCTCCAAGAGTACCCAAGACCTTAACCCAAGGCAAATATACTCTCCCTTTTAGAATCACAACTGCATTTATCTGTTTTATACGCGGCAAAGCCGCCTATATCTAAAACCATAGATTTCACTAATGAAGTAGCAAAACCTAATTAATATGCATATATACTGGTAGTCCCACCATATAGTGGCTTCTTGTTACGGTGTAGCCATAGTGTGATTACACCGACTCGTAATTCACATCTTTGTACGGCCACACCATCTTGCGTAAGCCAACCTTTCATACCAGGGTACGTGTAACCCCGTTCCACTCTCCCCCATCAAAATTCGGATACCCACAATTCACATTTAATTGTCGCCTCGTACGAGGCTCGAGTGTCTGAGTCATCGTGACGTCTTAAGGGCCATCTTCACGTATTCTCCGCTCATTGAGTCCTGTAGCTATGACACGAAAAACACGCAGCCTCGCTGGTTCCAAGGGCGAGCACGGGCAGAGCCCCTTTTCGTCTCCTGAACGCGGTGCAACTCTGGACAGTACGTCCGTGATTCACGGGAAGCACATGCCAAGCCCTCGGCAACCTGGGGCCACACACCGCGCCCGCCACGGGCGACGGATCTTTTCGTCGAGAATTCGGAAGAAGTCGACTATCAGTCGGATACTCCTTTTTAAAATGGGAAGTGGAGGAGGGCAAGGTGCGACAACAGCGCGACGTGGGCCCTACACGAACCTTACGGACACCGTGTCTATTTACCGACCTCTCGATTTCCGATAGAAGTGGTGTTATTACCAATCGCCTCAACGGGGCACAGGAGCAGCAGTTAAAGGCTGCCCACATGGCGGTTCTCATGCGCTCGATTCCATGTTCGATTCTAGACCCTTGTGTGGAATAATGCTTTGCTCGGCGGATACCGCTACGCGTTGAGGCAGTCGGGCCCCCGGCCACTACAGAAGCTGAGCTTGACCAATGAAAAGCTCTCCGAGCTCGCTTTTTGGTACTCCAAGAAATTACAATGGATCGGTACAGCCTCGATCTCGAGTTCAAAGATGAGGAGCTCCTGTAGCCGCAATGCGGTCTAATCCTGTGGTGCTCGCCCCTGGCAAAACCGCTCCAGATGAGGAGGAGCTCTTTGAGCGACGGGTGCAGCGGCACCGAAAACTTTGCTCGCTGTACAGCTTACAGTTGAGCCACAAGGAAGTGGACGTGTCCGTAGAACGCCATCTTTGATTTAGGTTTGTCAAAAATAAGGCGCGACGCCGACTTCCTGCGTATGATCGCCCTGCAACAAATGGAATAATCCATCACGCTCCAGCGAGCTCAGTGGTTTCTCACACGGCTGAGTCTACGACCACAGCAGCTCAGGGTCATAGCTTGAGCTCAGCTCATGGCCCTTCGGCTTGCAGGACTACCGCCGAGAAGCGTGGGGCGTACGACGAGGCGGAGCGTCATTATCCTTCAGATCATAAGCGTCCACAAGTTCTGTGACGCTCTAAGCTCAAACTCCGTGTATGGACTTGTCAAGGGAAATGCTGATATTTTTCTAAAAGTTGCCATCTGACGGAGGCTTTCGTCATGACATACTTCCTGATACGAAGTATTGTATCACGTTGCAGTGGCCGCTGTCAAAGAACAAGTCATTGCATCTGAGAAGATCTTTACGCGGCGACAGAAGGCTGATCATGTGCGTGAGGGCAAGTGTCCGCATTGTAGCTCAATCTTCTGTGTCGGGAAAGCCAAAAGTGGCTGGCGCATTGTCCGCGCTTTCAACAAATTGAGCGATATGACCGTACCTACCCAGACTCCGGTTCCACGCAAGGATATGATTCTTGGTCGAATGATTGGCAGTACTATTTTTAATGCGATTGATCTGAAAGATGGTGTCTATCAGATAGGAATGGGCGGAAATGATACACCACTAATTGCAAACATGGTATGCTGTGGGAATAATTAGTAATGCCACAAGGTTTCAAGAACGGTATAACAAGTTTCAACAAAATGGTAGCGAATGTTCTTCGTCCATTGAAAAAAAAATTTGCACCGAGATATATTTGTTCAAGTAAGACAACGGGTGAGAAGTCTGATGTCGATGTTCATCTTGATCATCTTCGTCCAGTTCTCCAAATTCGACGCTAATTTAAAAAAGTGCATTTTCTTTGCACAAGATATATTTGTTTCCGGCTGCTTTGTGAACAAGAACGACAATCGTGTAGATCCGGAGAGGGTCAAAGCTGTTAACGATTGGCCTGTGCCAAACAATGTAAAATAGCTGAGACAATGGTCGGTCTTGGCCAACTACTTGCACAAATACACGCGCAACTATGCAGGCCCACGCAATCGAACGATTATCGAAAATCGGGGCGAGCCCTACCATTGTTTCCACTGTTTCATGGCGTCGATCACCTGTGGACCACAAGCAGCATTCGGGAAGACGCTCTGATTGTCACGTATGCGGTATGATATATATCACTATTATATACTAATGAACGGCATTACGACAGTGCTCCAAACTCAAAATCTTATAGTAGTTGACATTTGTGGTTGCGTGGTCGCTCGAAATAATTAAAGAAAAAGTGCTTTTCTTGTTAGACAAAGCCACCGAGAACATAAGTGGAAGTCCCTTTTCGCCATGCAAACCATGTGGACAGCCAGTTTGGGTCTTATGCGCTGTCCACTCCTTAGTCAACACGCCAGTTTTTAGCATCAACAAAAGCGCCTCAACATAAACACTTAAAGAGAACATGCTGCTGCACGGACAATGACGACTGTCGGCCTGTCCGTCTTCCTTATGTGATACTTTAACTGCTTCAACAAGCCGGTCCACGAAACCCCTTGAGCGGTGCAACTCCTTCAACAAGAAGCACGTCAACTTGCTCGATTGCAACCCGTGCGACAATGGATGGCGTACCCCAAACGAGTGGGTTACGAACGTTGTAGCATGTGGCACATGGTGTAGGGTACGATGATTCGTACAAAAGTGATATTTTTTGAATTATGCTATTTGTAAGAAATTGATACGTTAGAGATATAAATCACCCTATCCGCTGATTTGTTCTTGTGTGCCATGGTAGAAACTGTGATAAGGAAGACACAAGTGCAATGTTCAAAAGCACGATAATGTGCTCACAATGCAGTTAATAAAATGGAAAATTCAAACGATATCACTCGATTCCTCATGAAAACCTAATAAAGTAATGGGCTGGATGATACTGCCCAATTAGCTCATTCCAATGTATAGCTTATGTACCAGCCAAATCTGATAATTTGAACTGACTTCTTGTTCCTTCGGTATTATTGTCATTAAATGCATGTGCAGTAACGACTATAGGCGCGTCCAACGCAAATCCTTCATCATCCATGTCGCTATAGATGAACTCTGCAATAATATGAGATAGTCAAGATTGATAAAGGCTTTTTATGTTGAAATGTGAAGGGTGAGAAGGTACTTCACAGTTCGTACTTATCTCGAGGATATCGAGCATATGGCGACACTATGCTGAAACACTGGATATGTAGATGCTAATCGACAGAAGAGAATGAAACGCATGCTTTTCGGAGTAAAAATGTTCTTAAGAAATCTTTTAGCCTACCCAGCTAGGGTTTTTAGCCTTATTTGAGCCCCTGCTAAATTTATTGAATCCTGCTTTGAAGCACTTTACGCGATAATGACATAATAGAT